TGCTGAATAGGAGTCCAACGAAGTCGGCTGAAACGACGCCATATGAGATATGGATGGGGAAGCGTCCCGCGTTGTCGTTTGTCAGAATTTGGGGTTGCGACGCTTACGTGAAGCGTCAGATGACTGATAAGTTATTCTCCAAATCTGATAAGTGTTTATTTGTAGGCTACCCTAAGGAAATTAAGGGTTACTACTTCTATATTCCTGGCAGAGAACAAGGTGTTCTTGCCAGGAATGCGACTTTTATGGAGCGAGAGTTCGTCTCCAAAAGAGTCAGTGGGAGTAGGATCGAACTTGAGGAAGTTCGAGAGCAGCAAGTAGACGTTGAGCCGAGTGAACAAGTTGAAGAAGTTCAACCTGTTTCACTGCCGGTTGTGACTCAACCTTTGACGAGTGAACCTCGGAGATCAGGCAGGATTCGCCAAGAGCCAACGAGATATGGATTTCTCGTGACTGGGAATGAGGAACTCATGTTATTAGAACATGACGAGCCTACCACATACCCAGAGGCACGACTTGTGTCGAAAGGATTCCGTCAAATTCATGGTATTGACTATGATGAGACCTTTTCGCCCGTAGTTATGCTGAAGTCCATCAGGATCCTACTTGCCATAGCCGCATATTATGACTATGAGATATGGTAAATGGATGTCAAGACCGCGTTCCTTAACGGAAACTTGACCGAGGATGTGTACATGACACAACCCGAAGGTTTTGTCGATCCAAGGAACTCGAGGATGGTGTGCAAGCTTCAGAGGTCCATTTATGGACTGAAGCAGGCTTCGAGGAGCTGGAACCTTCGCTTTGATGAGACAATCAAAAAGTTTGGTTTCTCACAGAACGAAGTCGAGCCATGTGTTTACAAGAAGGTTAGTGGGAGCACAGTAGTTTTTCTGGTGCTGTACGTGGATGACATTCTCCTTCTAGGGAATGACGTTCCTACCTTGCAAGACGTTAAGTCTTGGCTAGGAACGCAGTTTTCTATGAAGGACCTAGGAGAAGCGGCCTATATTCTAGGCATCAAGATCTATAGAGATAGATCGAGGCGTCTTCTAGGATTGTGTCAGAGTACTTACATCGATAAGGTCTTGAAACGGTTCAAGATGCAAGATTCCAAGAAAGGAACCTTACCGATGAGCAGTGGCACAATTCTCTGCAA